ACAAATCAACATATAAAACCAAAAGAATTTTAAAAAAATAGAGAGAAAAAAAATCTCGGGCAGAGTTCAGGGGCATCCCCTGCAGAGCTAAAGTCGGAGGCAAAACATTGGCGGGCCAAGGACCAGGGGGGTCAGGGGCGTGAAGGCTGAGGCCAGAACGGACCACGTGTGTCCACCTTGCTCTGTTGTCGGAACAAACCCAGATCGCTGGCCTGACCGCCACAGGGAAAATAACTGACCGTCCCCCGCACCTGCGCCAGCACACACACGCGCTTTGCTTTTGCTAAACCTTTTCTCTAGATGATTGGAATCTCTCCTCTCGCTCGCCCCTACTCTGTGTTTTTTGGCTCTCCCTTTCCCATTGCTGATTTTCCCGTCACTTTCCTTTTCTCTCTACACCTTCCCATTAATCTGTCTTCCTCCCCCCCCCCCCCCTTTTCCCAAATCCATTTCTCGGGTTCCCCTCACTGCCATTTTGAATCGAGCCGTATAGAGTAATTCTCGATCACAACCATTTTTATTTATATAAGTAGTATCTTCAAAGAGGTTTTGAGTTTCTCTCTTCTCTCATTAATACCCCTACCTCACGTGCCTCTGTCTGTCTGTCTGTCGGTCTGTCGGATCACACTCCTCAGCACACATCGAAAACATTATTCAAGCATTCTCTGTTCTATTCAGTCGCTAAAGTCATTATCTCTCAAAAGTCTGTATGCCTCTCTCCTCCCCCCTCCCTCTCCCCTCCACTCAACGACCCCGATTCTCAGGCAGTCCCATCCAGTCTCTAATTCACTAATTCATTCCATCCCAATTTTTCATCCCTACCTCTGTGTTCATCCAAAAGTTCCACAAATACCAATATATTGCCCAATCTTCTCCTCCTCCCAAACTCCTCTACAGAACTAACAGAGCCACAGAGGAGGACCAGAAACTCCTGCACGTCGCAGAGCCACCATCAACATACGAGCAGACGCCAAAGTAAACCTGCAGCAAAAAAGACGGCGCTGCACACACAAAACAAAGCCCTTGAGATGAAAAGCAAATTTGGGCGAGCGAGCGATGCAAGGTAAAGACACGGTTGCATATCGTTGTACGGGAGGACAGCTTGGACAAGCGCTAACCCTGTCTGACCTGATGTAAACACAGACCTTACGAAGAAGGGCGAGTCTTATTAGGGTCAACATAGCTGTTGACCTCGGCACAATAACGGGAAAGGGTTAAAGAAATTAGGTGTTTCAGGTCGACTGGTGCATCGTCAGATACGCTACTCAGTACATGTATGCGAGAGGAAAATGGCCGTTTGAATTAAAGTTAGCGCTTTTGCACTTCGATAGAAAAACAAAAAGAAAACAAAACACGTCGGCTGTCATTTCTGTTGGCATCGACTCTTGGTTAAACACACAGAGAGATAGAGAGCATTTTTGAAAAGCTATCCTATTCGGAGAGTTTTCGGTACTTGATCCTATTTGAAGACAAATTGGAGGTCCTGTCAATACGTACTGTACTCCGGAAAAATGTATAATATTATGTACTATGCTCTAGAGTGGAAATTTATGTGGACCAATAAGGAAAAAACGCAGAAAAGAAGCAAGTAAAGGGGAATTGTTGATTTCTTTTAGAGACTAACAAAGAAACAGACAAACGTTTTAAATCTGTTCCAATAAGTCAGGGGTGTACTTACAGTGGGCAGGGGTTTTCCTTCCGGTGGAAGACAGTCCAGTTCCGCTTGCTTTCCCTTCTCCACTCGCTTGGCCACTGGGAAGCGGTCGAAGTGTCTTCTCAGATCTGCAAGGAAAAAAAATGGAAACATTACATAAGGTTGTTTATTGGTCGACATATTTTTGGCAGTTTATGTGTGTATATATGCCACCC